GTCTAATATTTTTGAAAATAGCGTGCGCAACGCAAAAAAATACTCAATATTTATTATAGAACTTTCATATGCTTATGATTTTTAAAATTATTATTATATTTAAAACATTTTATACTTTTCTGAAGCCCCATTCTTTTATAAATAATGTGTAAATGATTCGAATCATTTAATTTAAATTTAAAAGAATTATATCTGTTTGAAAATTGTTTATATTTCCAGACATCTAGAGAAATTTAACACCCCTGAGACTCCGTAAATTAAATGTTTCAGAAGGTTCCTGTATGTTATTGGACTGTTCTATATTATTGGAACAATTCGTTGTAGTAAATGATGATAATGTGTGTACAGCCCTAATTATGGCAGACAGTCATTTTTGAGTTTGTTCAAAGCTCAAAAAATATCAATGAAGCAAATTTCGAAGACGAAAATGAAATGATTAATGCAACTCCATGTTCCCACGTCATCATAAATGAAGAACATCATGAATTATTTAGACGCACATTTAAATGGTGAAACGATTAACAAAATGGACGACATCAAACAATTTGCTGAACATTTAATGGTAGGAAAGGCAATGCGAAACAAATCTCAATTTTTTTCAAAAAGCTCAATAAATGCTTTGTTTTTCAAAATGTTGTTTTAAATTCCATTCTCTTGTGAATGTTTTTGTTCTTCTGATTATAATACTTGCATATATACACGTCTATATATTTAAAATGTACTCTAAAAAAGCTTAGTTTTGTTGAATATGTTATTTTTTGTTGCAATATTCTATAACGATGCAATTTTTTTAAACACGAAAAAATATTTCAGCCTTCTCAGTTTTGTTTTAAACGATTTTCATTGTAATTTTTTAAAAAAAAGCAAAAATCGATTGATGAACTGATTTTTGTTCATATGAAAAAAAAGCTTAAAAAAAATGGTTGAATATTCGATAATGCTATTAGTACAATATTATTGATTTAAACATATTTTGCCTTAGATCGCGTGTTTTAATAACTATATGTAACTAATGGGTCATCTTGACTAAAGGTAGTTAGTTGTAGTAATTAAAAATTGTTTTCAGTAATCAATCTCGATTGATAACAAAAATGGAAAAAAGCTTTTACTAAAATTTAGTACGAATGATTATGCTCATTTTTTTATTAATGAGTGAATATTACTTTAGAAAACCGATAGATATTTCATAAATAGATTGATTTTAGAGCAGATAAGCTAAGATCTTTATCTGTAATAAAAACAATGGTATGAGATTTTAGGCGAAAATGTGGCAAAACCCTTTTGTTGCATTACTCTATCGATTTATTACAAAATTTTCACAATAGCGTGTTTTCTAAGCAATGTATCATCTTTCCAAATACTGGACGGGATAGTTAAATAGTAATTTGAATGATTACTATTGGAGCAGGTAAGACATCAATCATACAAAAGTTTTTAGACTTGTGTAGGTACATAAACGTAATACTTAAATATTCTTGTGTTTAAATAAAGAATTGTATGGATAAAAAGAAAATATGGTATGTGACTACCCACATTTCGCCGTTTTGGTGAAAGGTTTCGAAACTTCTTTTATGTTTTTATTTTATAGGCCATACATTTAAGATTCCAAAAACGCTCTATTTTTGTTTCTACGATATCTAGAAGCAAATTTACAGCATAATTAGTAAACCGGAAACGGAGTTTACAAAACCGGAAGTAGTTCCCTACGCAAAATATTTTTAAGTTATTGAATTGAAATTTTCAAAACATATTTTATTTAGTTCTAGCTGTGTTACGAATAAAAATCTATTTTTTGTGTTTATATTTATGTAGTTTATTGTTTTTTTATGAAAAAAAGTCTTTTTTTTAAAAAGTCATGTTTTTGATTAAAATTTAGCATACTTAAAAAACTTTCAAAAGTATTACAAATCTTTTAATTTCTAACTCATATAATGATGTTATACACGTACTGTATAAATATTATTTGAATATATAAATTAGTATTTTGTGTAACTGCAATTTTTCATCAAAATTTCACTAAAAACGACAATTGTTATAGTCTATAAAACTCTCCAGAAAACATCAAGAGGTTTAAAAAAAGTCCAAATTAGTTACGCATAAATCTAAAAAGATCTTGACCTATAAATATGGTAAGTTTAAAAAATGTACAATTAGTTGAACTTTTTTTTATACTGTATTAAAATCTTTAAATGCATTTTCTGAGAAACTATGTTTTTCAATTTCTTGCTTCACGGTAAAGTTTACTACAAAATTTCTTTTTCAGATAATAAATTAAAAGTTTCTGAAAATGTTTTATTTAGTTTTTTCTTCTGTCTAGACTATAATTTAATCTCTGTCTTTTTTTTTATGTATTTTATTGCACTTTATGTGAGAAAATAACATTAATTTTTTGTTATATTGTTATTTGTTTTGTTTAACCATAGATTAATACTTTATCCTAGGAGTTTATAAATATTAAGCTCAAAAGTTTCATGTGGCTTATCAAAGTTCAAGACTATCTTTGGTTAATGTTGAAGAAAAACGACCGAATTCGGAATTTTTTTCAGGTATATAAGTACTCATACATTATATAATATTATATATATATATATATATATATATATATATATATATATATATATATATATATATATATATATATATATATATATATTCTGGCTACACAATTCTGTAGATATTATTTTATCATATTTTTTATTTTTATCCGAGTTGACACATTTTTCTTTTATAAAATGTGTTTTGCATTTTGTTTCCTATACCGTAATACTGATGGGAGGTGCGGATTCATTCAGGAATATTCAATAGAACTTCAAAATTGCGAACTCTGTTTGGTGGAAAGTGTTTTCTTTCCCCAACACTGAAATTCCTTAGCAGAGGGTGCTTACATTCCCATGTCTGCAGGGGATCATTACACCCATAAATATTGGGGGATCGTCAGAGAATTTTCCCGCTCGAAAACAAGGCAACGAACGACCTTTGCGCTGTAACTTTGCGCTGGTTCCGGACCAATCAGAGGTAATTAAGTGGAGAAGGCATATAGTCCGCTCTAGAATTTGGGAGAAAAGTGGCATTGAACAAAAAAGGGAAAGCACCCCGATTTAGATACACTCGGACACGGAGAGACAAACTAATCAGATCCAGGCCTTGAACTAGACTCCGCGGGACTTCGAGCGGCAACTATGTCCCCACTCCCTCCAACCCGACACCTCTCTCTCAAAGCTAAGTAAAATCTCAATCTAGTTATGCTGTATATTGTAGAGTTACTTAAATTTACATATGTTAATTCAATAAAATTAATTGTTACTTTAAGAATCGGCCTTTTGATTTAGAGTACTGTTTTATGTCTTTAGAGTATTAGTGTTTAATTTTAACTTAAGCCATGATGCTATGTAACTTAAGGACCTGGGAAGTGAAGAAATTAGTATTTTGATTAACAAAAAGAGAAAGTAATTAAATAAGTTTCATCAGCGTCGCATCAATACTAAATGAGCTATCCCTTCACATGTTAAAAGGAAAAACTAATTATTTATAAAATATTTTTAAAATTTAAAAACACTATATATTATAAACAATCGCATGAGTTACAATGTCACAAATTTTTATAAAAATTGATGCAATTTTTCTGTTTGAAAGTGTGCTCCGGGTCAAGTTCACGCTCTCGTACATATGGCGAAAATAGCCTCAAACCGAGTTGTAACTTCACAGATCCAAATATAACAAAAACCAAATTCCGAATTCTACAAATACCTTTCAAAATTCCAAGCAATAGATATTTCTATTAAAATAATCAAGTTATATCAATTGAATGTTGCTAAAGCTCTAAAAAGTCATGTGAACAGAAAAATGAATTGAAAGTTTTATATTGAGAATTATTTTACAATAATATTTCTATTGTACAGTAATACTTCGACTTATACTCTACCCCGACACGTATAGCAAACCTCTATGTAATGAACCTTTTATGTTGCGAATTTTTCTATATAGCGAATTTTTTCCAGGAACCAAGAACATTTCACTATTTTCTTCGTAAAATAACCTCCCAATAGTGAAGTTCATTTTCTATATGACGAAAATTTCTCTTGTGATTCAATTTTTTCCTCCCTATTTTTGAAGTATTTCTGGACATTTCGAGTTAGTCTCTCTCTTAACACATTTAATGCTGGTCATAAATCTTAAACTGGTTTTATTAGATGCCTAACTTCCCGAGAGCAATAGAATTCTGGAAATTTCAACCAAAAATTGGTTCTTTAATCCCCTTTGTCCATTTCACTGGAAGCATTTTCGGTACCCCTTTCACCCTCAGTGAAGACTCGTTTCTTGAAATAGTACCCGTTCTCTTAATTAGTATCTTGAATGTTCATTCGTAGTATTGATCAATCGTACTGGTAACTCCGTTTCTTGTAACTCGAAAATGTCAAAGCGTAAGTGCTTGAGCATCAAAGAAAAATAATTAATTCATCAGGAAGTGGATTAAGGCGTCAAGGAACTTTTATTTCAGTTTTTCTTTTTTTATAGGTAAGATATATAAAATAAATGTATATTAATTTACAAAACGGTGTGAATAATTACTTTTTTTAATATGTATTGTTTATGAGTTTAAAATATTTGTTTTATATGGTTTATAAAGAAAATTGAAAAATGAACCTTTATACAACGAATTTTACATTTAAGGAACTTTTTTTCGGGATTTAATGACTTCGTTATATATAGACGTCCGACTGTCCGATATATATATATATATATATATATATATATATATATATATATATATATATATATATATATATAACCTGTGCTCAAATTTTCAATCGTTAATAAAATACTTTTTTTATTCATTCTTTTAATTTCAAACACATGTTTTAAAAGTTGTGAGGATGACACTTGGTGTTAATACAGTTTTTTTCAAATATTAATTCATTAAATAAACTAAAACAATAATAAACAGTAACAAACAAACATAATAATCCAACATCATATATAGAAAGGAAAATCGCGCATGTATTTCTGTAGCACAATGAATAGTGCATTGGACTTCTAAACCAAAAGTCGTGGGTTCAAATCTCACCTGGAATGTCAAAAGTTTTGACAAATGGATTCATTTTTACTATGTTATTTTATTGGAATAATTAAATTTAATTAATGAATAAATAGTAACAAACAAAAATCATAGTCCAATAGAAATTTGCAAGGAAAATCGCTTTCTACTTTGCCACTTTATATTGTGATTCTGTCATATGTCTTTACATACATATATTAATTGTAATTATTTAATAAAAGTTACCTAACATAGAAATTTTATTTGTTGACCTAAGTAGAAATTGAGTCTAGAATTTTTTTCTTATATTACTTGTTTTAAAATTCACTTTAGTATATAACGCTTTTATTAAATAGAGAATTATTATTTTTACTTATTATATATATTATTTAAAACATAACGCAGGGATATTTCTATCTGATTCGAACACAAGATTATTTTCAAATATTTTCAAATTTCTTGTAATCAAGATTTGATGTGTTACATTTCGATTCAGTCAAATTTAAATGATTTTCTGGTATACCTAACGATCAAATTACGATACACTGAAATACATTTAACGCGAAAACGCTTAAGACAGAATATCGATTAACACGTAATAATACAACAGTCCCGACAAATTGCCATGTATTTTTTTCTCTTAACAAGAAAAGAAAATCAATTTACATTAAAATAATCCCCCTCTGGGAAGAACAAAATACGGAAAACACCAGCCGGATTAGATTATCATACTGTATCATCGGGAAAATTGGTTATAGTAGGTGATGAGTCTGTGTGTACAGCCCCAATTATGACAGAGGAAGACATTTTGGAGTTAATTCAAATCTCAAAAAATATCATTGATACAGATTCCTATGACGAAAAGGAAATGGATAATGGAGCTCCTGTTCCCATGTCAACCGAAAGGAGAAACATCACGAAAAGTATACTCAATTATTCAGACGCACATTCCAATAATAAAATGAATCACCAAATGGACGATATCAAACAATTTGATTCTTAAAAAAGACAATTCATAGGAAAATATCAGATTATTTTCCCAAAACTTAATAAATATTTGGTTTTTAAAAGAACTTGAAAAATTTGTATTAAATTTCATTAAGCTCTTGGGAATGTCTTTGTTTCTTTTATTGCTATTAAATACATGCATATATACATATCTATGTATATAAAGTATACTCTAGTTAACTGAATGTTGTTGAAATATGCTTTTTTTTGCAATATCCTTCAACACGAAAAAATATTTCAGTCCACCCAATTTCGTGTTAAACGATTTTCACTGTATACTTAAACTATGAATCAATCCAGAGATTTGAGTTTTAATATCAGGTTTCCAGCTGCTTTTTTTCCGGTTTAAGACAAAGGTGGGCACTACGTCGATCGACCAGTGGACCACAAAGAAATTTTAGGGTAACCGTCTGAAGATTAGCAAGTAGTAATTATACACGAAAGTATTCAATATTGGCTGACTTTTTACTGACTATAACTACGATAACTAACTTAAGATAAACATGTTTTACTTTTTACTGTATTTTGAATCATTTGCCAAAAAATGTATCATTTTATATTTTTATATTTGTGATTATTAATATCATGTATGATATGTTTTGAATCAGAATCAGACTTAATTTTAAAATAGATTTTTATTCAATCATTTCTACATCTCTTCTGACGCTAAGAGTAGAGCGGAAAAAGTATGCCTTGGGGTGTTTTAATTGGGTTAACATTTAAAACACAGATGCGGTAAGTAACGCGGATTTTATGATTGCACTTGAAAGTTAATGCTGACAAATAGGGCTATTAAATTTAATGATCTGGAATTAGACATGTTTATTGGCTAGGCCATATATTTGGAAAAAATAAATGGGTGATTAGTTTGATACTTGAAGATTAAATGAAAAGTATGAGTTAAGTGCTAGATAGGGAATTTAATTTTTAATCTAATGCATACATCTTGCGTTTCGCTTTAAACGTGATTATAAAAGTGATAATTTTTCTTTGCTTTAGATATAGAGGTAAGCGTAAATCTCTATATTTATTATTAGGTTATAATAAATATTGTAGCCCTATTCCTTACCTCACCACGCCGACGACACTAGGCGGTGGCACACACAAAAATTTTTCAAGGGGATGTCCAAACTCTACCCTTTTCGTATTATGCTTTATTGTGCAGCCAAACATATTGTTTTTGATTTTGTAGATTTTCGGGAAAAGAAAACAGTACAAAATAAATGATTTATAAATTAGTTAGCATTAATGAATAAAAAAAATATTAACAACAATTGCTTAGTTAAATTTTACGTACTATATATAAATACATGGGGCGTACTATATATATTATAGTCAATCGGAAAACAATGGGGGAGAATGTGGACCCGTTAACCACCCTCTTGTGTGCACCACTGACACCTGGGTGGACTGTAACACCTTGAAAAAAATTAGAAATAGCCCATATCCTGGAAAAGTCTTCCTATCCCTGGGGTTTAAGACTCTACCACTAAATATATTCTAAAAATTCTTTTAGAAATAAGAATCACGAATATTTATCGCATGTACAATGTGACATTATTTATGTTCTGATTCTCTGGGGGACATTACAGTACAGGACATTATTCCTAAATTTCCATAATGATCATATTCACCCGACGCGTATAATTGGAGCATTAAGATTTAATTTTTTTAATACTCAAACCCACTGAATATCTAATTCTGCCATTAAAATTAAATGAAATTCATAATATTATACAGCAGAACAGTTTTTCCCATGAACTAACTATAAACATATCACACAAAGTGCTCATGTTTTGAACCGACGCCAAGCATCTAGCCAATAAAAAAAAGTTCTCGGATGATTTATCGCCAAGTTGCACGCCATATTTGAAAACAACTGCAACTTGTAACTTAAATATTTTTTTTTCTGGAGGTGTCGGATACACATCGAAGTTCATCTCATCCGAAAATGGAAATCAATATTAACTTGGCTCTAAGTGTGTTGAACTTTCGAGTAAATCTATTTGGCTTGGAGAAGGACAAAAACGCTTCCTTCTGACTTTACTGAAATAAATTAAAGTTCGGTGGCAATGAGGAACAAAACAGGTTCCTCCCTCCCCTTTTCTTCACGCACACGACAAGGCTTTCATGAGAAAAAAAATCTAAAGGAAAAAAAAAGAAGTGCTTGATGTAAATTGTTTTCTGAGAAGATTAAAAAAAATGTGGGTGTGCGTGTTAAACCTGTGGGAGGGGGAAGATTGCGTTTCCTTATTTGGGTTTGGGGAAATTATAAATTAATCACCAGTGCTGTGTTAGGACGTGGTCGCAAAATTGCACAACAATTGTGTAATTGTTTGTAAAGCTATAGTGAACAAGCCGATTTATAATAAAGGGTGTTTTTTTAGAGGTATAGAACTTTAAATTGCAATAAAACAACGATATATTATTCAATTGACATGGATATTTTTTTATTCGAAAGATAATCTTGTGGCATTACATTTTAAATATGATTTCTGGCATAGGACTGCCACGGCTGCCTCGGATGTAGTCCAATCTGGACGTCCAATTTTCGATGACTTTTTCCAACATTTGTGGCCGTATATCGGCAATAACACGGCAAATGCTGTCTTCCCAATAGTCAAGCGTTTGTGGCTTATCCGCATAGACCAATGACTTTACATAGCGCCACAGAAAATAGTCTAGCTGTGTTAAATCACAAGATCTTGGAGGCCAATTCACAGGTCCAAAACGTGAAATTAGGCGGTCACCAAACGTGTCTTTCAATAAATCGATTGTGGCACGAGCTGTGTGACAGGGTGCTCCGTCTTTTTGAAACCACAGCTCCTGAACATCATGGTTGTTCAATTCAGGAATGAAAAAGTTAGTAATCATGGCTCTATACCGATCACCATTGACTGTAACGTTGTGGCCTTCATCGTTTTTGAAGAAGGATTCCACCAGCCCATAAAGCGCACCAAACAGTCGGTTTTTCTGGATGTAATGGTGTTTTGACATACACTTGTGGATTAGCTTCACTCCAAATGCGGCAGTTTTGTTTGTTGACGTAGCCATTCAACCAAAAGTGCGCTTCATCGCTAAACAAAATTCGCTTATGAAAATCGGGAACAACGGCAATCTCGTTTTGGGCCCATTCGACGAATCTACGCCTCGCTTGATGATCGTTTTGATGAATTGCCAAACCAAATTGAGAATAAATCACTTGACAGCTGTTAAATCGGTCGCCATCTTGGAAAGTAATGCCAACTTAAACTTCTATACCTGGAAAAGAAACGCTCCTTATAATTGTGAGATGATTCATGAAACAAAATCCTCTGAATGTTCAACATGTATTATTTCAACAAACATATCAACATACAATATGGGTAATCTTTTTTTTCGTACACTGTTATCTAATTTATTTTTATAAGCGTTAAGTTGGAATATAGGTTTATCTTTGAATGAAAAAAAATCATTATTACTTTACGAAAAAATAAAATAGAGTTAATGTGAAAATATCGTAAAAATAAATGCAATTAGTAAGCAATGCAAACCGAAAATAATGCAGTTAGTGAGTAATAAAATCTCATGTTATAAATGTTTTGTCAATTTTACATATTCCCAAAATTCAAAGAACTGTAAGTAATTCTTAGCTTTGAGATGTACTTTATTTCTACATTTTATAGTTGAGATTTCAATTAACTTAAATCCATTTCAGTAGTTATCAGAAGTTTTTCATCAAAAAAAAATTTAACCAATTTTTAAAAATTATAAATACTTCTTATACGTCAAAAAACAGTTGCATTTAAAATAAGAGGAAAATCAACGAAAAAAGCAAAGTATTTGAAATTTATATGAATTGAGACAAGATTGCATTTAAGTTATATATATATATATATATATATATATATATATATATATATATATATATATATATATATATATATGAATTTCGTCTAGTTTCAAACGGAAATTTAATAATTTACTTTATAAGCCTGGCAAAAATTATTTTAAAACTGTGTTATAATATTGGATGTTAGTGTAAGTAAAG